AGAGAAATTAATGATTAATAAACAAAATAATTTATTATAAGGATTCACTTGTGTAGTAGGCTATTATGATCAATCTTATAATGAAGACAAGAAGAAGGTTTAAAGTGTAACTTTATTAAAACTGTAGAGTTAAACGTCTAGTCCTAAGACTTATCTCAATTTCTGAGCAAAAACTCTGTCAACTCAAGATCAACTTACAGGTCTATTTATATAAAATTGCTATCTAGTACTATACTATTCTTTTTGATAATTATAAATGTTACATATAATGAAAATTAGATAATATAATATAAGTATATAAAGAAGACTATATAATATATATAATGAAAGTAAACTATTTGATACATGTATTATAAAGTCATCAGTCAAATAATATATATATATTATATAATTTTTGGTATTATTAAATATCATCTAAAGTATAGTATAATTTGCGACTAATATTGGTCATTATTCCTTTCATGTGATTTAAGCTTATCATAAAATAATTAATATATGAGCAGAAAATGATTAAGAAAATAAATATTTATTTGAATCAAGAATAATTATTTATAATTTAATATTAACTAAAAGTTTAATTTAAGGAAAATTTAGAAAATTGAATTTCTGTTACCATAATCTGAAAAAGAAATCAACAAAAGATAATGAACACCAAATGCGATAAAAATTTTCAATAATGCAAATCGAATCTAAAACTAAAACAAACTTACCTTTTATGAAAAATCTCTAGTAGATATTTAATTGATGAAAAAAACCATAATCAATAATTTGATCAATCCCTTACTCACATGATTAATTAAAAATTGAATTACTTAATTGAACATGTGTGATTGATTCTTTAATCGAATGCATTGTTCAATCAAATAATAAAAGTGAATATCAATTTTAAATTGATTGATCATTGAATGATTTATAGTTTTTTATTACAATATTGTAATCAAATTTAACAATAAAATTCCTAAAAAGATTTAATATTTATTTTTTTCATTTTACTAATAATAATTTTATTAACTGTCTTTGGCTTTAAACTGGTCTATTCATGAGTAATTTGATACACATCATCACTAAGAAGCCTATTCACTTGGAATAGAAGTGGCAATAACACCAAAATATTTTCTAGCTATTTTAAATAATGTTAGAATCTTCTATTTATTATCAATTCACCATTGAAATGGATTTATTGCAGGTAAAACTTGTGGGGTTCTAATATTATCCAAGCTGCTTAATATCTGAAGACAAATCAATATTATTATTTTTCTTAGTTGGCTTGGTTGAAATAATTTTAGATTGTTTAGTCTAGCATTTTAAAAGTTATTAAATTAAAAGTTTTTCACATTAAAATTTTAAAATTAATTATATATTTTGATCATCTGATCTTATAATATTCAAAATTTTAAATATTATAAATATAATAAATAAAGACTCTGATACTCTGAAATGCATTTTCTGATAAAAAAAATAATGCATGTAACTAAAATAAAATAACTTTCAATGTAAAATAACAAGAATTTTTTTATACAAACTATAACGATATTATACATAATCGATCGTAAAATAATTATTGATCAATCAACTATAAGATATTTAATTGATTATAAATCAATTAAAGTTAGTTTAATTTTGATTGAATCCAATAATCTGTGATCGAAAAATTGATTGATTCAATCAATCATTGATCCTACTCAATTCAATTAAGAGCTATAACTGTAATGCATTTCTACCTTTGACAATTAACTCATAAGTAATAATAAATATTTTGCCTTCTATAAAGTTCATGTATTTATATGCCTATATTTTTAATGATTAAAAATCATTTCTTTAATAGGATAAGCATTTTAAAAAGGAGAGACATTAAAAATAAACAAAAGTTAATGCAAATAAAGAAATAAATAAGGAAAAGGCATAAATTTCATATCTAAAAAAGTTAATGATAAAAAAAAAGTCTAAATTTTGATAATGAGAAGATGACTTAGTTGCCAACAGTGAGAGACTAATCCTAGTTCTCTAAAGAAAATATTTAAAATAAATGAATTATACAAATTTTCGTGATTAAATTAATTAAATTTTTTGAGCTATAACTATCAAGTTTTAAATTTCATAATCAATTTTGAAACTTCTGATATTTGCAAAAGAAATTATTTTAACAGGTAGTAAAAAATAAAATCCTATTAACACCACTAGTAATAAGTTTAGAATGATTAGTAAAATAATAATAATATAATTGTCTTTATTGTAAATTAATCTATTGCAATTCTATAAATAAAATTTTAATGTATAATAAACACCATGTAAATTACAACAAAATATTTAGTTGTTCATCACCTATAAAGTATAGCTTAATACTAATTGTTATAGAATAAACTATAACAGAGGATTATCAAGATTAATCTTTTATTTATATAAATTAATAGTCAAATATTTTTTTTTATTTTTAAAAAAATATTTTAATTATTTACAAAAAATAAATGATTTTTTTTATTTTTTTTATTTATTTTTATTTATTTTATTTTAATCAAATAACATTAATAATTATTTTTTTTAAAAAATTTGTTTATGTTATACATAATAATACTACAAAACAAGGAGCTACATAAATTCTAAGAAACTTAACATTATGAATATAAGAATTAACATTCAAGGTTGAGACCCTATAAAAAAAATGTAAGGAAGTTAGTAAATACCTTTTAATTAAAATAAACACTTAGTTACTTACCATCTGGATGGCAAACACCACATTCAAGATGACAATGAGCCTAAAAAAGAAACGTAGTGAATTAATTATAAAATAAAATTTGCATCCGCATATTCCATCTACTCACCATTCCAGAAAGTGGAATCTAAGTCATCTAATCCAGGATGTGAACCTAAAAAAAGAACTAAAATGAAGCATTACTTCTTTTTTAACATTTCTAAAAGAAATGCCAAACTATATTTCTAGAAGGTGAAATCTATTTATAAGCCAAATCCTATAATAAGGAGTTAATGTATTTAATAAAAACAATTTTTTGTTAAAAAGAAATGAAATGAAAAAAAGTAATAAGAAAAACAAACTATAAATAATAATAATAATAAAGAAAATATTACTTATTTTTGTGATTTTTCAAAAAAAAAAAAAAAAATAAAAATAAAAAAAATAAAATTAAATTTTGTATATGATGATTTAATTTCTTCAGAAGTTCTTTTGTAATTCCATTGAAGTTTTTTTCACAAGTGCATTTGATATAATATTTGACAATTTTGATGTAGGAGACCTCTTTCTCTCTCTCTCTCTCTCCAAAGCACTTTTTTTGTAGATTTTGATGTAAAATTGATTGTTAAGTTAGGCAATTTTAAATAAATCTTCCTCAATTGAAGTTGAATTGTTTGAAGGAAAATTGAATGCCCGTATTTTAAAATTCCTTGTTTTACAATTAAATTTTGTTACCAATAGCATAACTATTTTAAATCTTTATTGTAATGGGATATAAAATTCAATTTTATTTATAAATAATTTTTAAATTCATTATATTGTCCTGTTGAAAAAGCCTGAAAATCAAAAAAAATTCTATTAACTACTCTCATTTCTCAGAACTAGTTTAATATATTTTTATAGTAATTTCACGAGATTGCTTATGCATACTAATCGTGAATTATATTATATAAAATTTTAAGTTAGTATTTGATAAAGTATATAAAGAATGTTTTGATAAAAGCTTTCAAAATCTATGCTCAAAAAAGTATCCAAAAACTCATTGATACCTATTTTGAAAATTGGTTTCTCAGGATGTTGTACTATATTATCCTATCCTACATGAAGTAATGCCATCATATAACATTTCGATAACAAGTATTAATTTTCTACTAATAAAGTTATTAATCTAAACTATAAGGCCTAATTTATTTGGTTGCTATGTTCCAAAATATCATTGCTAACGAATGCAACTCTGGGAAAATTTGCGAAAGAATGTATTTTTTCCCAGATTAGTCTGGGATAAAATACAGGTTCAATTCCTGACTTTTGAACTGGTAACCACAAAAATGACATATGTTACATTTTTAAATATTTAAATGCAAGTTGATTTGATAGAAACAATTAGTTTATAATTTTGTGAGGTTATCATGTGAATGAAAATCATCACAAAATTCATGAAAAAATTATTTTCTATAAATTGAATCGGATGATGAGGAGGTTAATATTAAAAATCTTCGCAATACGCAAAAATTGTAACATCAAAAGAAATTTGCAATACAAAAAGAATTTTGTAATATTGATGAGATAAATGTAACCGATGTCAACAATCCTCTGAGATAAATGTATTAAATTTAAATTTTAAAAATAGAAGCAGAAAATGTCTTGAGAATAGGCCATTTGACGATCTACAACTAAACCATCAGGGGATTTTAATTAAGAAAGCAGACGAATGCATCGCATCCCGCTTCTTGTTTTTCCTACAAATCACAAATTAAGTTTTAATCAAATCGGAAGAATTTTAGATGTGGAAACTTGTGAATATTTTATCCGTTGGATTTTATTTGCGATGAATTTTGGGGCTTGAAAATATGCGAGATATGATCTATACCAACAAATAACATAGTAATTATTAGAATAGTCTTAGCTGAAATAAGAACTTAAGGAGAACTGAAATGGTAGAGATGAGTAAAGATTATGGTTCTAGATAAAATTTAAAGTCTAAATTATAAAAGATAAACTTTGACAGGTTTTGATTTTCATAAAATTTTATGTTTATCATATAATTTGACCATTTACAAAATTAATTCTATAAATATTTAGCATTTCAGATAGCATGAAATATATAAAACAATTATTTCACGGAGTCTCTGTGGAATATCATGATTTCATGGCTACGCCATGAAAATCGATATTCGTGATCGTGAAATAATTAATACTTAGGCTTCAATAAATTATTGTTATTGGTTAGGTTGTAGGTGATAACTGATTTACACACAGGCTGCTATAAAGTTTACATGGCCGAAGGCCATGTGATCTAAATAGTATCCTAATGTGTGTAAATCAGTTATCAGCCAATTTGTCCAATAACACGCTTTATTGTATATGTCTGACGTAAGCACTGGATATTTTTTCACATATTTATTGATCATTTTCTAATCACTTTTAAACTTTTACTCACTCATGCTCCTTTTTCACCTTCTTCCTTTCCCTTTTTATTTCTCCTACTTTTTATTTAAAAATTATATAAATATGAATTTTACACGTCTCACAACCTCCCTCACAAAAAGAAATTGACTGTTTACAACAAGCATTATTTGTTTCAAATACTGAAAAAGCACTTCCAAGTGGCTACAAGTTGTTGATCGATTTAATAACAGCTGCGGCATATCGCAAGCCATTGAATTAATTGATTCTATTAATGAACTTGAAGATTATCTTTGTAAATTTATAACTTGGTTAAAAAAGAATGATGGTACAGATTATAAAGTGGAATCCATTCGTAACTGCTACAGTGCTATAAATCGTTATCTGAGGGAACATAGAGTGATTCAACCAATAAAGATTTGGGATCGATACAAGTTTCCTCATGCTCTTCGTACGCTTGATGGAAAAATGAGGATGTTGCAGGATAAGGGGTTAGGTGATACCAGCAAATATGATGGATTATCTGTTAAAGAAATCAAACAAATACTTGATCATTCATATATGAATACTGGTAATAATGAATCTCTTACCCGTCAAATTTTCTTCTGATTATGTTTACTATGTGGATTGAGAGGTGGAGATATTTATCAAGATCGCCGAATAGATCTTGAATCACGTCAAGATGGAGGTTTTGAACTTGTATTACACAAAGAAAAGATTAATCAGGGTGGTGCATTTTATAGAAATATACATGGAAAAACAGGTTCTCGGCACATTCTTATACCTCCTGAATAACCAAATAATCAATATACTCCTGTAAAAGACATTCTTTTATTTTTATCCAAACTTCCTGAATCTACTCTAGTACAGGATCCTCTGTTTTATGAAACTTCTAAAAGTAAAAAAGGTAAATTGATAAATTTATTAACTATTTATATATTACTTTTACTAACTTTTTTTTTAAGATTTACAAAAAGGTCTCTGGTTTAAAAATAGCACTATGGGCCAAACGAAATTTAAGAAAATGATGAATGATATTGCATTAAATACTGGCATTAATCTTGATAATGGAAGAAAAATTACAAATCATTCTTGTCATCATACTGCAATTCAACCTTTAAGGAATAATGGAGTTTCTGAATTGAAGCTTCAATCCTTTTCTGGACATCGTTTTCGTGAAAGTTTAGCAGATTATAGTCAAACTAGTGAATATCAACGGAACATGAATACTGCAATGTTAATTCCTTATTCTCCACAAGATTTAGATGATGATTACATTTCTGAATGTATTACTGAAGACGAATCAGATATTGGTACATATAATGCTTAAAATATTTGATATTTTTTGCATATTTACTAAAAATTTGATTTTCAAATTTATAGAAGTGGATATTGAATCAGTTTAATCAACTTCGACCCAATCACAAATTCCGATTATTGCATCTTCTAATATCAAAATTTAAGAAACCAAAAAGACATCTAACACTAAAACTCAAGAAACTCAAGAAGGTATGGTTAAAAATTTTTATTTTTTTTATTTTTAACCTTTGCTATTTACTAACTGTAATATAAAAATTTTAGATATTTCAAAACCAAGTTCAAGACTTTTCAGATTAAGATCTCGTGATATAAACAACCTTACCCTTCTGTAATGACACCTTTTAAACCACCTTATCATTCCAATTCCTCAATGATCACTTCTTATGATAAACACAGAAAGCCTTTATATAAAATTAACAACAACATCATTATTAAGCTTCCTCCAGATGCCTCTTCGCAAAATTATGACATAAATATTAATTTAAAAATCAGTTAATGTATCTTGTTTAACATTTGTATAAATATTAGTACATTTACAAAATAAAAAAAATTCACACATTTTTATATATGAAGTAAATAAAATTAAATTTGCGCATTTTATATATAAAGTGAACTAAATTAGTGTATTTTTATATATAAGTGCACTAAATTTGTGTATTTTTACATATAAAGTGATCAAAGTTTGTGTATCGTGTGATTAGAAAGTGATCAATAACATGCATGAAAAAGATCTAGTGCTTACATAGGATGTATACAATAAATATTTTTACAAAACTATTGTATTATTATTTATTAAAATTACAGTAAAAAATACTTATTTCGTTAGTATCTATTCCTTATAGGAAATCAGATGGGAATTAATGCCGTTTTCGAATTGGCGTAATCAGGTGATTTATCGATCAAATAAAATTTAAGCATCGAAAACCGCTTCTTTTTTATTCTTCAATTCTACGTTTTTTTGAAGAATAGGTTGTTGAATTATATGTACATGATGATATATTTATATCAACTGCCTTTGAACGTTGGATATTTGAAGAATTTTGACTAGTAGGATCCACATTTATTAAAGATGACCTAAATAATTAAAGAAAACAAAGTGAATATTAGTTAGCTTTATTTCTAATGTTATGTCAATTAATACCTTATATTCAGATCATATTCTATTGAAATATACTCTGAATAACCCAAGAAAATTATATTAATAAACAATAAATAATTGTATCATTTCGATTATTCAAATCAAAATAATCATTTTAACCAAATACCTTGTTTTGTATTATATACATGTTCTATAGATAAATTTATAGATGAAGATTTCGAAATCAAAGAACTTAATGCTCTGCTTGTAAATATTGCTTTCGGATGAGGTTGCTCACTAAATTTGGGACCAAGTTTCATAGATTGTATCAATTTCAATCTTTTCATTTCAGCTTGTTTAAATTCTTGATAGTTAGGACTCCATCGAGAAACTATACTATAAATTTCTGTAATTAAAAGTCTTTTTGAAGGATCAGGATCCCAACATCTTTTCATTAAATTTGCATAGAATTCAGGAGTATCTTGAGTAATTTCAGGCCGCTTTCCATCAATAATTGCGTAAATAAGATCGGTATCATGTTCAATATTATCAAATGGTTTACGGCCTGACGTTAATTCCCACATAACCATACCCAAACTATAAATATCAGATTCTTTTGAAAACTTAACACCCTTAAATACTTCAGGTGCTATATAAGGTATAACACCATATATTTCATTATTTAGCGAACCATCTGCGGGTTGTGATAATCCTAGATCTCCAATACACCAACCGTCTGAAGAGTTTAATATATTTCCACTATGAAGATCTCGATGGATAATATTTTTTACATGAATATCATAAAGTCTAAAAGTTAAAATAAAGTATTTTAAATATATACATTAATTAACATTATTAATTAAAATAAAAATATAAATACCCCCATGTAATATCATGTAAAATACGTAATTTATCACGCCATGTAATAACTTCAAATTTTTTTTGTAAATGATTATGCAAATCACCTCCATTTGCATACATCATTATTAACATAAACTCCTTTGTATCAGGATCTTGTGTAACTCCATAGCATCGAATAATATTTGCGTACATCGTATCGTTACAATGATATAACGATTTTAACTAAAGTTATTATAATAACAAATAATTTAATATATATATAAAATTAAATGTAAAAATATTAAATTTACCTCATTTAAAAAACTTTTACTGATAGTTTGAGAATGTAAGATTCTTTTTATCGCAACTACTTCACTGCTATTGCTATAAGGGTTTAATCTAGTTGCTCGATAAACTATGCCATATCCTCCTTCCGCTATTTTTATTAAACTTGTAATTTGAGTATATGGAATCCATTCCATTGGTAGAATATATTTAAGATCATAAGTAAAACTACCAGATCTAATTAATTTGTAAATTTCATTATACTTAATTAGATCATCCACAATTTTGCAACTGCTGTTAAATTTTGTATAATAGATAAATTCATCTATAATTGAATTACCACTGACAAACTTTGAGACATCGATAGTGATTGATACAACTCTCTTGCATTTCATACATTGAGATTGATCGGCAATTCCAAATATAATATTTGTCGTTAAACAATATCTACATCCAATATATACTACAAAACAATATGAACACCACTTTTGACAATCTGTTACAAAATTTAGTTTTATATCACAGCTTATACAATAGCTTCTGCTATACCACAATGGCAAATAAATTATTAGAATTGATTTTTTAATGAATGTTGATTCTGCCCGTCCATTAGAAATCAAATAACAATTATGACATATATCTCCATTATATATATAATCTTTTCCACATAGCAGACACTTGCGTTTATTTTGATGATATAAATATTTAGTACTATAAAAAGGTTGTCCAAAGTATAAAATTTCCGAGCAATTTAAACACCATTCTTGAATTTTATGCGTCATAAAATCTGAATTTCTTGGTTCATGATCACTACACTGAATGTTATTTGTACCTATACAAATATCCAAGTATATATCATTATCGGTTAAATACTTAATATACCAAGTTAAGCAACTTTTACAATATTTGTCAAAATCATAAATTGCATTAGAAAATTCAAGTCCACAAAAATTGCAATTTTCGTCATTTCCATTAAATGAAATAAAATAAATTGGCACAGGGCTAGACTTTAAATTTGGGGTTGGATTAAATGTCTTATTCTTCGTAAATTCCATTTTTGTTATAAATTGAATTGAAAGATATAATAGAGAAAATATTTCCGATATTCGACCAATTTATTATTATTATTTTTTTTTTCGGAGATAAATGTCCGAGCATGCAGTAAGTTTAACCTTAAATGTAGTATAAAGACGGAGCGAAATTAGAATTGATTTGAGATCTCAGTCACACAAGTTTAAAAAATAAAAATTACGTAACATTTCTATATTTAGCAAAATAGCAAAACCAAAATATACGATGATAAAATTTTGCGTATAAGTTTTGTGATACAACTTCCATACGGAAATTTTTTAAAGAATGAAAAAATTTTAAATTGGAGTTATTTAAGTTGCTATACCATTCAAAATTGCGAACGAACGAAAATTAATGTGGATCTGCGAAATTCCAATAATTTTTAAGATATTAAATGGCAACTAGCAAATGGAGCAGGAGTATTAGAGCAAATACATGGAATTTTACTGATCGTTCTTGGAGACGTTAATAGACTTATAACAAAAAAATGAATTACATGTCCACAAATTGGTAAAGATAAGGAAATGAATTTCCTGATTATTAGTTAAATTGTGAAAGGAGGGGCACTATCTAGGGCTAAAGCATTTTTTTTAGTCATGATAAAATCAATAGAAAAATAAAAAGAGATTGCTCAAGCATTGATCGCCATCATAATTTCTTGGTCGTAAAGCTTGTGCACCATCTCACTATCAAATCACCTTGAGGGAGGTGCATGGGAACGCCCTAATTTAACAAAGTTGCCTGGCAAAAACTCTCAGGTTTTGACAGGTTTATTGGCAAAACTATAATAAAAACATATTGGTCTAACCGTCGAAACTCGAAACCATAATAAAATCCCGTAAAAGTCAAAACTATATTATCAAATCCGTCGAAATATATATAGGGTTTCGGCTTTTGCAATTTGCTAAAATGAGCTTAGCCAGATTAATTTCATCCTTAATTGACGGATATAGAAATTCTAAAAAAATCTTCGTTTAATTTAATTTTTGCGACTTATTATAGTTGATCAATTAATTTATGTTTTAAATATTGAAAATATAGTATTTTATTTGATAGTTTGATTAATCTGAGAGAATGTAACCATACGATGCTTGACGAATTTGTTTCGAAATAGGCATCATATATAATTATTTTTCTGTTTAATAATTGTTCTATTCCAAAAAAAAATGAAATGTTATTATATTATTTATGTAAATTCGACCAGTTTTATTTTCTATTTTTACAGGAATATTTGGTTTGTTTATATAACGTTGCGTCAAAAATAACGCCCGCTTTGAAATTATATAGTAAAACATAAAATATCAGCATTAAAATTTATAAAAACTTGGACATAACTATTAACAGTAATATTTCAAGTTATATTTGTAAACAATTTTTTTTTATAATAGATATCGATATATATTCAAGTAATTATAATATTTTTTCAATCTTGTATAATTGAAACAGCTCTTGCATTTTTAAGTCTAGAAAAAATTGGATTATATTGTTTTAAAAATACATCGTTAGCAATATAATTTAGAGACAAACATTTAATTAGCATTAATTTTCTATTTTTTTTTTGATATTTATTGTAAAATTTATCGGCGTTACAAGAAAGATTATTTTTCAAACGAAAAATTTAGGGAATATTATATTACTGATAAGCTACTTAAATATTACTGCACTTTCTATCGGCATTGAATTGTTACATACTTTTTGAACGATTTATTGGAATCATTTATTCGTTTCACGATTATAATTATATGCATGGAAGTCAATGGTAATTTAGAAATTTGACTTTCAGCAACAGCCACCAAATGTTTATTTGTAATA